GCGCCGCGGATCCCCCGCCAGAAATTTCAAAACTCCAAATCCGGAGCGCCCGAAAGCCCCCTACGCGCGCTCAGCACGGCCCCGCCGCGCGGCCACGCCAGCCATGTTTATATAGCCACGCGGAGACCTCGCGCCTGCGCATAGGGCGCCGCCGCCGCCCCGGGCTTCCCCCGGAATCCGGCCGTGCGATTGGCCACAGACTGGAATCGCGCTCGTGACGTCACGAGGGACGGCTCCAGAGGGCGTTAGACTCTTACCCTGAATCCCGAGGAAGGCGGGGCGAGTTGCCAAAAACCTACCACGTGGGAAGGGCAGACCGCACTCGGAAAACTGCGGCATCCGCGTTCTTCTTTCTCCTTGGTATCCCAGTTGCGTGTTCCTTGAAAAGCCAGGACTGAACTCTCCACAGGCTTCTACTTTTTAAGGAAAAAATGTGGACTGATTTCAGAGGACGGTAACTCAGTCAGAATTCAGTCACGCTTCCTCACTGTTTTTCTGCGAGCTTGGCTCCAAAGCGTCGCTAAAATAAGCATTACATTTGACAGTGGAAAAAAACAGTCTGTTCCTTTCTTTTAAATGTATAAGAATGGCGTATAATTTTATCTGTAAAGTGTGCCTATTTTCAAGTAATTAATTTAGAGTTGAGCTGCCCCAAGGGAAAATCTTTTTCTTCCTTCGTGCTACTGTAGATGTCTCCGTCACCTCTGAACATACTTTGTTTACGTGTCTGTCTGCTTGAAAACTGGGACAGTGTCTTTTGATTCTTACATCCTCAGATTCCAGCACTTAATTCTTAAGTGCAATCCTAAAACACTCTTTGAATAAGTGAAAAGTGTGTGGTGAATGAATCAATAATACAGTCAAATATGGGAAAACTTTCCCCTTAGAGATCTAGTCAGAGAAGATGCCTTGACTTCAGGCTACTGTCATAATACATGTTTGTAGGAACCGACACTATACTTAAGGAGATTATGCAGGGAGGCAGGCATCTAGCCGTTTACAGCTTCTGGTTACCTCCCTCCTGTCTATTCCAAAGGACAAGATCCACAGCCTTCATACTTCACTGCGTTTGCTGTCCCCCATATCTCAGCCAGTCCAAATCAAGAACCCATTTCGTGACCCAAATCAATCGCAACTTTCCCCATTTTATGAAGACTTACTTGATCACTTACCTTATAGAAAATTCTTCCAAGTGGAGCTGAAGAGAGGAAAACTAAATTTATTGAGCACCTCTTGTGTGCTAGTCACTAGGAGATATATTTCCTTGTTTCTTACTTTTTTTTTGTAAACAACCACTTCATTTTACTGACTTAAAAACTGTAGTTAAAAGAGTAATTTAGCCATGAAGCTGGGAATCTAACCAGTCTGTATGATGCCAAAGTACATGTCTTCCCACTACTCCACAAATGTCTGATTCACCATATATCCCACACTGCCCCTGGCAAATCAACTTGCACAGAAAAGGTATTTAATAAATATGTGCTAAGTGAATGGATTAAATGGAGCCGTGCAACATTTTCAGAAAGCAAAACCATCTAGTGCATTTGAATCTTAGACCTGCTCTTTACTAGCTGAGCAAATTGTTCAGCCTTGGTTTTTCTCTCCCCATGTAGCATAGTTTTAATAAGTGCTTGAGGAAGGGAAGTTCAAAGTTTGCTCTGAGGACTTTCCTTTTCTAAATTTCCATTAGACCCCACCCCCAACTCACATACCTTATTTAGGTATGCAAAAGAGAGGCTTGACTGAGGAAGTATTCTTTCTCTTTAAGGTGACCTTGAACATTTTTCTTTTAAATGTTTATATTTGCTTTAGAATTTGCCTCACTAATGAGAGGTTTAATTTTCTAGTTGCAAAGAATATACTCCTCCTTACCCAGCACAGGTAACTAGTGTCCTAAATATGGAGCGTAGTAATAATTAAGTTGATTACATTTTCTTCCTATAGAAACATAAAATAATAAAACATAAAATAATAAAACAGGATACATAGGAAGGCAAAACGCATCCTGTGTCTCTATTTATGTAAAAAAAATGCGGAGGGAAGATTATACTTTGATTTAATTAGGTTTATCTATTAAAATATTTGTAAAATTAAAGAATTGAAAAATACATATTTATTTACCTTCTGTCTTATTCCAAAGTACTAATCCTATTCATGAGGGTTCTACCCTTAGGATTTAAGGACTTCCCAAAGGCCCTAGTACTAATACCATTACCTTTGGGAATTAGGATTTCAGAATACAAATCTTAGGGAGACACAAATATTCAGACAGTAGCACCTTCTAAAGGAGGGACTAAGTCGTTAATTGTCCACATATTCTGCTCATCAATTCAGGTAATAAAACAAAACCGAACAAATACAAAATGTATGTTCCTAATATTTTACTAATTTACACACACACACAAACCCAAATTAACTAGGGCAAAACCAAAAGCTAAAGTTACAGTTATTGAGTGGACAGTGTAAATTATCCTTGTTATCCATTTGATTTTCAAAGTGCCTACAGTCTCTTCACAAAATGAAGTTCACTATAGAATTTAAACAGGAAGCCTTCTTTACCTGTGAAATGAGATCAGCTGAAAAATCTGCCTGAGAAAACAACTATTTGGCTAAGACGGCTATGGCCCCAGCTTCAAAGTGAGCCAGAAATGCATGCCTTCAAGTTCTATACCTTGAACCTAGTCCAGTATCTGTGTTTTGCATCAGAATATTGAAATACTTTCTGCAACAGAACACCACTCTGTTATTCCTTTCCTCTTAAAGGAATGTGGCTGAAACTTTTTTTTAAAGAGTTTTGACTTCATTAATGATTTCCATTTTTGGTGCCTTCATTAAAGGTTTAATGAAGTCTAAGGCACTTTTTAAAAATTTTTAGTATTTGAAAGACATGCTCCTAGAAAAAGTGGATATAACCAAATGATCATAACATAAGAGATCCATTCACACTATGGAATATTAATCAGCCATTAAGATTTACACTTGTAGAGGTACGTTTATGGAAAAATGATCATGGTATATTGTTAAATGAAAAAAAAGAGGTTATAAAATAGTATACAGAGTATGATTTCATTTTTTTGTAAATTAAAAAAAAATTTAACCAGTAGCAGATTAGATATATGCTCAGAAGAAAATCTGGATTATACACCAAACTGTTAACAGAGGACATGTTTGGAGACATTCTAAATGATCTTTTCAAAAAAAATTTCTCTGTGTTTTCTAATTCTTTTAACAATGAATGAATAGTGTTTACATGACCAAAAATTAACACAAGCTTCTTCTCAAAATATGTATTCTTAGTGACAACTGAAATCTGTAAACACAGCTAAGTACTCCCTAATCTCCCCCCCCATAGCATCCAAGAGACTTCACTGAACTTCAGGAAGTGGGGTACTTTCCACTGCCCCATATATGTAACTACAGGAATTTCCCAAATGTCCCAAACTGTCTCTCAATTTCATGCTTTTTCATACACTGGTTCACGTCCCTTCAAAGACCTTCCCCATTTGAAACATGTTCTACCTAACCAATTCCTATTTGGCCCTCAAAAGGCTATAACCTATGGATGAATTCAGTGCCCTATTCTTCTCCCACAGCACCTTACCATAACACTTATATTGTAGTATCCAAGTTGTTTTTCTTGTCTGTCCTCTCTCACTAAATTGTGAACTTCCTGACAGCTGAAACTGTGTCATGTTCATCTCAGAACCAAAAGAGAGAACCTAATACACAGTAGACAGAGTATTTCTCCAACTCCTGTTCGAATCCCAACCTCCTAGCGGCAGGAATTCTGTCTTGTCTGTGTATCCCGTGTCTAACAGGAGGTTAGTATTTCAGTTTCTGTTCTGTCTGTACTTTCCTTGGGGGATAACATTCTCTTCCATGGCTTAATTTCTATCTATATGTTTATGACTTCCAGATCTATCTGTCTTTGGCCTAGATTTCTCTCCTGGTTTCCAGACTTATGTGGTCAGCTGCCTACTGTCTTCAACTAGATGTCCCACAGGTTCAAACTAAACCTAACATGACATCTTCAAACCTGCTTTTTGTCCTATGATCCCTATTTCAGTGAACCAATGAACCCCCTTCCAGTTGCCTAAGATGTAAAATTAGGCGCTGACCTTGAGTTTTCCCTCTTTCTCACTCTTGTTTCAATCAGTCAATAGATCCTGTCAATCCTGGTGTCATATCTGTACTATCTCTATAATCCATTGGCTTCTCTCATTTCTACCATCACTCTTTTAGTTTAAATCCCTTTGGAGTTGAAGTGCACTCACTTAAATTATGCCAACTAGGCCTTCTCCATGCCTCCAGTATTGCGCCTCCATTCTATTCTCTAGAGAGATTCTATTTTATTCTTCAGATTTTTTCCCCCCAAAATGTTCCTTTAAGCATTAACATTATAATTATTATCATGACTCTTTGATTTAGGATTATTTTTCTTTCTTCCTAAAAGGAACCTAAAAAGAAAATAATTTCCATTTTTAACTATTTATAATTCCATCATTCTGGCTGAATTCTCATGTTTACATATTACTTTCTAATCCTTGTCCATTGTATACTTGCTACTATGTGAAGTACCAGTATGATTTTATATATAATTTAGAACTTATCTTTCCCTAAATAATTTTCCATGCCTAAACATTCAAATCAAGTAACTTACATAATCCCATACTTCTAAAATCTCTTCATGATCATTTTATGCATAATATTTATTAAGCAAGAACACATAATTGTTTGCACGAATAATTACAAATTATGATAAACACTATGAAAGAAAAGAACATGGTGCTTCAAAAGAGGCTAATGGGCAGGGCCTAATATAGCCAGGGGGCTAGGGAAGTGTTCCGGGAATTGAAAGAATGCCTGTGGGACTGAACTAGAGGAAGAGTGGCCTAAATGACCTTTGGAGAGGCCAAATGGGCTCGACCCCCTTCAAGGCTTAAATGTCATGTGATGTGCAAATGAAAGCAATTGAAATATTTAAAGAGGAGTAAAATGAATTAATTTACATTTCAAGGCCTTTTATTTGGAAATAATTTCAAATTTAGACGAGAGCTGCAAGAAATAGTACTCACAACTCCCATATCCCCTCCATCCAGATTCACATTTTGATGTGTTCATTTGCTCTCCCTCTCTTCGTGTATAAGTGTGTGTGAGTGTGTGTGTGCGCACGTGCGCGCATATACAGTATATATACATGCTTGATCCTCATTACTCACACTTTCCAAATTTGCCAGTTCACTTACTTGGTAAAATTGATTAGTGCCCCCATGGTACTTGCCAGGTCTTTTGCAGACGTTTGCAGAGCAGGAACAATTTGAATTGTTCGACGCACACTTTCCCAGGTGAGCTCAAACAAGGTGGTGCTCTGCCTTCTTGTTTCAGCTCTCATACTGTAAACAAGTGTCCTTTTCGCAGTCTGTCTAGTGTCATGTTTTACATGCTTTTGTCCTTTTTGTTGATGATGTCACTAATGATGCCCAGGCACAGTGCTCAAGTGTGGTCTAGGTTCCTAAGCGCAGGAAGGCTGTGATGTGCCTTACGAGAGAACAGATGCGTTAGATAGGCTTCACTCAGGTGTGAGTTGTAGTGCTACTGGTTGTAAGTTCAATGTTAGTAAGTCAACAGTATAGATTAATAAGGTGTCCTTAACAGAAACACACATAAAACAAGGTTATGTATTGATGGATAGTAAAAAAAAAACTGTTATAACCAGGAGCTTATAGAAACCTAACCCTGTGTATCTTCCAGGAGCGATTTTTGAGTATTTGTTAATTCAGTGTTCTGCGACTTAATAGAACAGAATCTTCACAAACAATGAGAATCAACTCTAAATACACTTTTTCCCTGAACTACTTGAAAGTAACTTGCAGACACGCCCCACTATTCCAAATATTTCAATTTATAATCCTAAAGACAAGGAATTACTATAACCACAGTACAATTAACAAAATTAGGAAATTTAACATTGATACAACTATTTAGTCAACAGATATTAAATCAACAGATCTTTTTCAATTGTTGCTATTTGTCCCAATAATTGATTTTTGGGGTACTAATAATGTTTTTTATAGCAAATTTTTTCTAGTCCAGGATCTAATCTAAAATCATTCATTGCATACAGTTTTACATCTCTTTAGTCTCCTTTAATCTAGAACAGTTCCTCTGCCCTTGTTTTTCATGATATTGCCATTTTTGGAGAGAACAGGTGCTTTATTTTGTAGAATGTCATTAACTGGGTTTGCCTGTTGTTTCCTCGTGGTCAGATTTAGGTTATGCATTTTGACAGGAACACTACATGATGTTATGTCCTCTGTGTCACATAAGGAAACATGATGTAAATTTGTGTTCTTATCATTTACCTTAAGTTTGATCCCTTGTTTATGTTGATATATGCCAAGCTGCTCACTGTAAAGTTAAGATTTTTCCTCTTTGTAATTAATAAGCAGTGTGGTGGAACATACTTCAAAACTGTGTAGATATCTTGTTCTTCATCAAGCTTTGCCCTATTAATTTTAGCATCCATTACTGACTCTAGGCTGAATTGGTTATTACTATGATGGCAGCAAAATGGTGATTTAAAAAAACTCATTACATTATTGTTTGCCAGTCTACTGAAAGTAGTTTTCCCATATCTCTTATGTATGTATGAGCATGGATTCATGCATTCTTTTTTAGTCAATGAGCTATGATCAGTTACTGTCATGACTTATTTTTATTCTCAAATTGTCCCACATTTAGACAGTAGGAACTCCTTTGTTTCTTGTGTCCTTTTGCTGTATCCTTGTCATTTTCTGAGTAACGTAAGTTCTTAAAAGACCATTCTAGTTATTATATGGAGAATAAACTTGGGGAAGACAAAAAAGGCAACAAAGAAACTAGTTGCATGGCTCTTGTAGCCGACCAGGTATGAGATGAGGGTGGCTTGAAATCGGGTGGTAGCAGTGGATAGGTTTGAAATGTATTTTGGAGGTAAAACTCTGTGGGTATTAGTGGTAAACTAAGCAAAGTAGCTTAGGGAGTGAAAAGTGTTAAGAATGACTCTTGTTTCTAGCTTTAGAAACTGGGTGGATGGTGATTTCATTCACAGTGATGCGGAAGACTGGAGATGGAGCAGCTCTGATGGGAAAGATCAAGAGTTTAAGAAAAATCAAATGGAACTTGAAAGTGAAACAAACAAAAAAAGAAAGTGAAACAGAAGCTAGGTTTTCTATCACCTTTCTACCTGCACTTCCTGACACAGTATGGATTATACTTGAAGTAATGAGACTGGATGTTATCAATGAAGGAGAGAAGGTACAATAGAGAAGAACTCATATCAAACCTCAGCATTTAATGGTATCCATTCTAAGTTTCAACAAGTTCTTCACTATATCTTCCCTATACTCTCAAGTAATCCCACCTAATGTATTTCATTTTATTTCATCTCCTCTTCTCTTTTTTTATTTCAGAAACTTCTGAATGAGAAAAGATTTCAAGTTTTCAAGACTTAATATTTGTTGACTTCATCATTCCTACAGCTTTATATACATTAGATCTGGGTTTAAACTTAGATTTGCAATGTCTCTTAAGTATCAAAAATCTGAGAAGACTTGCAGTAAAGCAGCTGTTTTCAAACTTTTCCATCTCAGGAGACTTTTACACTCTTAAAACTTACTGAGGACCCCTAAATCTTTTGTCTGTATGAATTATATCTATCAATATTTACCATGTTAGAAATTAAAACTGAGAAAATTATAAATTATTTCTTTATAGATCCATTTAAAAATACCAATAAAAGCCTCATTACATGTTATATTAGTCACGGCCCATTCAGGGGACAGATACCACATCAGTTATTTGAAGAGGGAAAATTTAATATAAAGAATTGTTAGTTACTAAAAGGTAGTTAACTACTGAAAAGAGTAGAAGAGGATCCTAAGGCATCTACAAGTAGCAGGTGCAAAAAAGCATCTACTCCTTCCAGCTAGGAGGAGTGGACATTCAAACACTCCTCACGGCTGAGATTCAGACCTCCTCAAAGAGGTCGCTGAGCACACAGCCTGGCAGAGATGAAGAAATGTGCCAGAGAGAACAGGCTGTTGCTGATCTATAAAGCCACTGAAGGTGGGGAAAGCATGGCCCAGGGCTGTAACTGGAGTTCATTTGCACTTAATAATAGTGGAGGGGGAGGGTATAGCTCAGGGGCAGAGTGCATGCCTAGCACACAGGAGGTCCTGGGTTCAATCCCCAGTACCTCCACCAAATAAATAAATAAACCTAATTAACAACCGCCCCTGAAAAAAAAAAAAAAACACACCACCTTTAAATAATAGCAAGTACCAGAATGCAGAAGCAAATAGTTACCTTTTGCAGTAGCTCTGCAGTATGGCCTCAGCGCCCTCTACTGGGGAAGTTTAGCATTTCATTAGCTGGCAAAGGAGAAATGCTTCCAGGGTCCAGAGGAAAGAAGAGGGCAAAGATTTGTAGCTGAGAGACAAAAAATTGGTAACTAGCACACATATTACCATACATATTTTACAACATTTCATAAACATTTTAAATGAAAAATAACTATAGTTTTTTTTTAGCCAGAGATGCTCACAGATGCAAGTATGAAACAATTACTAGACAGTATGAAACAGGTCACAACAAAGAGCTTTGGAGACACAGAGGACAGGCCTCTAATCAAGCCTGAGGAAAGGCTTCTTGGAGAAGACTACCTGGGTGAGTCATAAATTTCCAGCGTCAGCTCAGTCAACAAAAAGGAGGAGGAAAACAGTCTTTTCTGTGAGGAGAAGCATGTGTGTGCTCCCCAGATCAGACACACGCAGCCCCTTGCAAGAGAACTGCTTTCCTGGCATGAGGGCATCACAGGGTGGAACTACCTGACTTCAAGCCACTGGCCACTGCTGGCTGGACAAGGAAGCTGGCCCAAGGGCAGCCAATCCTTTGGCCACAATGACCCTGGCCAGGCCTGATGCAAAAATATCAGCTAGTCCAAACACATTTATTCCTGCAGAATTGCAACTGGGAACCTTGGAAAGAGAAGGGAGGTTAACTATGGAAGCCACATGATCAAATTAAAAGAGAGGCTAGAGAGGCCATAATGCACATGTATAGGCTAGAAGGTTATAAGGGAAGAGAAACCACGAGTTAGCATAAGCAAGGAGTTAAAGAAAGAAAATGAGGCTGAGAAAGCGAGAGTCAAGAGAGAAGAACAGATGTGTTGTAAGGAACTGACCCTATTCAATATCAGAGTTAAGACTCAAAAGCTCTTGATGCTGCTATTCCTAGAAGGCAAAATGATGTTATTGTTTCTAGTTTTGTACTTCCCCATGAGAGCCCTTATTTCCTTGAATCCTTACTGGAATGTTGTTTCTTTTAACCAAAAAAATCTCAACTGAAATGGGCATAGCGAAAACACGACACAATATACTCCCACATATGGGAAATGGCAAACAGAAGTTTATTCACCTGCAGCATTATCTGCAATAGCAACACCATGAACAGTAAGTTCATCAACAGAAGACTGGTTGAGAATTTAACCTTACATCTGGAAAGAATGATACTCTCATGGGAAGATCCTCAAAGCTATGTTAACTGAAAAAAAATCAAAGATATTAAACAATATATAGTCTGCTGCCATTTGCATTAAAAGAGATCTTCTTATATGTTTGCATATGCATGGAATATTAATGGAAGTATAATGAAAATATCAGTGGAAACATACTGATTACATGGGTTGTCTCCAAGAAGAGAAACTCAGTTACTGGGGGTCAAAAATGAGATGGTGTATTTGTACCATTTTTTTGTGTTTTTATTTCATTTGTACCATTTAAAATAATATGTACCATGTGTATCTATTATTTATTAAAAGTAAGTTAATGATATAAAAATTTCGTTTCAATGTGATTATTACATGCATTTCTTCTATTTATTTCCTATATATGCCCCTTGAAATCAAGATCTTAAATATTCTAGTCATCTGTTTTCTCTATATGCAAATCACATTGCACCTTTATAACTCTCTATTAAAAATACAGTGAAAAAAACTTATAATTTTTAATCAGATGAGGCATTTTTGACCCCTCAATTACCACTAAAACTTTATGTGGAGGTATGATAAAGTAATTGCTTACTTTGTTTCTAAAGAAATCTCAATGTATGAAATCTATATATTTCAATTAAATATGTATATTTAATATACATTATTGATGTACATAACTGAATATGTATTATTATACATAACTGAATACTTATATCCAATTAAGTTACATAAACCATGAGAATGCCTGGAATGAAAAGCCCTAAGGAAACATGAGATTAAGTGGGTTTTTTTTGCATACTTGGAGAGTATTTATTTCAATCACATCCTTTTCCAAAGATCAAGCAGAAATTTACTAGGTTCCAAATGGTCTTTCAAAACTTACTGTGCAAACCGCTGATCTGCTTCCTAAGAGAATTAGTCATGATTTCATTTCAAATGATGGTGAGACTGTCATGTCTTTCATTACTTCACTCACTTGGTTGTTTTCCTCAACATGACCAGGAATAAGGGAAAAAGAAATTTTTAAAAAGAACTGTGCTAACTTAGTAATGAAGCGAAGCTGTCTCTAGCTCTGTTAGACAGGGGAATATTGTAACGAACACTCATACCACCATTAAAGACATATGATGTGGCCAGCACAGTTGAAGCCCCTTGTATTCCCTTCTCTTCCAACCATTCTGATTTTGCTTTTTATTTTTATTACATATGGATACATTCATAGACAACAAAATATAGTTTGCTTTTAATTTTTCTTAATGTGCTTCTGAAAGTCAAGATATGCATGTTTAAACTTCCTTACAACTTTTTTCTGCATTGGATGTTTTTGGATTTATAACTGTGAAGTACATAATAATTAAGTATAGATAATTTACATGTACAGTTTAGAGAATAATGAAGTGAACCTGCACATGCTCACCACCCAGCTTTACAAAAAGCCTTACTGTTCTTGTGCGTTCCTCTCCCTGGTTCCCAACAGAAGTACTCACTGTCCTAAATTTTGCAACAACTGTTCCCTTGCTTTTCTTCAGTTTTACTTCATTGTATCTGTTAAACACTATATTTAGCTTTGTAAGTCTTTAAGCTTTCTATAAACATTCAATTGTGTTTACACAATTGGTTTTAGTTTTTGCTCAATGTTTTGTAGACACATCCCTGTTGATACATGTAACTGTACTGTCTTCTTTTTCCCTGCTATATGGTATGCTTCTGTATGAACAAATCACAATTTATTCATTCTCTTATTGATGAATATTAGGTAGTTTCTAATTTTTTTTTGCTATCACAAACAAAGCTTTTGCATCTGTTTTTATGCACATACAGTAGAGTTTCTGTAGACTGTATACCTCAAGAGTGGAATTACTGGCTGACAGGCACATGCCTTTTTGACTTTCTAGATCTCACTGCCTTGCTGCCCAAAGCAGCTGTCCTAAGTCTAATAGCAGTAGATCGTTCTTTTGGCTCCAAGTGCTCAGTAACATTTCACAGTCTTTTTTTTTCAACTTACGTATAGTCAGTTTACAGTGTTGTGTCAGTTTTGAATGTACAACATAATGCTTTAGTCATACATATTCTTTTTCATTACAGGTTACTATAAGATATTGCATAAAGTTCCCTGTGCTATACGGTAGAAACTGATTTATCTATTTTATATATAGTAGTTAGTATCTACAAATCTCAAACTCCTAATTTATTCCTTCCCAACCCCTTCCCCTCTGGTAACCATAAATTTGTTTCTGTCTGTGAGTCTGTTTCTATTTTGTAAATAAGTTCATTTGTGTTATTTGTTTAGATTCCACATATAAGTGATATCAGATGGTATTTTTCTTTCTCTTTCTGGCTTACTTCACTTAGTATGACAATCTACAGGTGCATCCATGTTGCTGCAAAAGGCATTTTTCTTTTTTATGGCTGAGTAGTATTCCATTGTGTGTGTGTGTGTGTGTGTGTGTGTGTGTGTGTATTAT